ACTGCCATAAGTATTTGTAAGCATTCAACTGAAGTAATAATTTGGAAGTTTTATGGATGAAATTTTCTGTTGGCACCACTTGGATAGTCCCCTCTTTTGTCAACGTTTAGAAATTGTTCTTATATTGGATATATTTTCTTTTTCTCTATTAAAAAAATCAAGAAACTGTAAGTTTTTATGCCTTTGAACCATGTTGCATCAATGGCCAAAAAAACCGTGCTGCATCCTTTTCTTTGTTTCATTTAGCACTAAATCTAATTCTCACAGCCTGTTTGTGTTTTCTTTCTTTATTTTCATTTCCATGAGAGCTTACATTTGTTACCCTTGTTTGAACGCTTTTGGCAGATATAGGATCTGTTTGTAGTTCCTGTTGTTCTTTTTTAATGGCATGGTGTATTGACTTTCATCACAGGATGTTGATTGCATGCCTTTACATCCAGCAGAAAATTTACCTGCTTCTTTCAGAAAGCACAATGTCACTGTCAACAAATATATTGAGAACCTTAAGGAGCTCAAGATTAATGAACAACTGAAAGGAGGGACGACTAAAGGATATATGAAGATTTCCTCTAATGACAAGCTGGTGAGCACTGCTGTTCCCGGTTATATTCTGCCATCAAATCATCGTATCAATAAATCATCAAAGCAGACAGGGGTTAGTTGTGATTTCCAGCTGCCAAAACATATTGTGGTTACTTTTATATTCACGTGCAAGATGGCTTGTAATCTTATAATAGGTGCCTGTCTGTCCTCTATTTGGCAATATTAAATGTTCAAGCATCGTCTTGTAGTATCTGACCATGAAACTGCCCCCATTTATAAGAGGAGCATTCTTCCAAGCATATCAATGTCTTGATGACACAACAAGAAGTTCACTTTTTTCCTCAAAAAAAGAAGAAGAAAGAAATAAAGAGAACTGCTAAAATTTGTGATTTGGTTCAGACTGATACTGAACATCTGCCATTTATTTGGTTCTAATTGTGTTTATGTTACTTGAACTGTATTGCTATTCCCCGCATGCTTTTCACTTCATGTTTTTAGGACTCATTGTTTCTGTTGGTCATTTGTTTTTGCTGACTACTTGAACCATTGACCTTACATTGCTGCTGTATCTTTAATAGAAAACATTAAAATGCAGAATAATTATATGCTATTATCTAAGTAGGAAATGTTGTGGTTAGGTGAAGTCATCAAGTTTTAATGTGCAAGCTAAAGTTGGGCCTGGTGAAACTGCTAGTACACAAGTCGCAAATTATCAGCCTTCAATTCCTGCACAGACCCAAGCAAAAGAAGCTGATGTGCAAGCTATATATGAGTTGACTCGTGCACTTGACAAAAAGGTGAAGTTCTTAATACATAATTCTATATCAATTTTAGGTGTTAGCGATTGGAAAATTTTCTTGTATTTGAAGGGAAACGAGTGATTGTACCTATTCAACTCCTGTCGATGTGGGTATTTGGGAACTGAGTTGACAGATCATGTTGAAACTTGTAGGAAGCCGTGGTGTCTGAGTTGAGGCGCATGAATGATGAGGTGTTTGAGAACCAAAGCGATGAAGACAACTCTATCAGGGATTCTGAGCCCTTTAAAAAGGAATATGCTGCAGTACTCTTACAGTTGAGTCAAGTCAATGACCAGGTATCCATCGTCCCATCTGTTGCTTCATTCCCTTTCCTTCGATCATGTGGCATCTTGGTTACAACTATGCAGCAATCAAGTGACTATTTGAGAGTGAGTGAGAGAGAGAGAGGAAAGAGAAGGAAGCTGATTTCCTTTCATGTGCAGGTTTCTTCTGCTCTTTTATGCTTGAGACAACGCAATACGTATAGAGGGAGCTCCCCGCATACAGTTGTGACGCCCGTGGACAATTTAAGTGGCCCTGGTAGCCACTCAAACTCCTATGGGTATTCTTGTGATGTTCAAGAATCGGCATCTCATATGCGTGAAATTGTTGAAAGTTCAAGAGCAAAAGCTCACAAAATGGTTGATGCAGCTATGCAGGTATGGAAAGGGCATTTTGTGCTCTGTTATTCTATGTCCTGGGGGCCTTCTAGGAAGTTGTTGCTATGACCAAATCTATCATGACAACTATACTGCTTGAACGCTAATTACTTTTTGTACTCTGACAACAATGTCATCTCAATTACTATTTCAGGCGTTTTCATCCTTGAGGAAGGAAAATAACTTTGACAAAATTGAGGAGGTTATAGACTTTGTAAGTAACCGGCTCTCAGATGATGCTGGCATGCTAGCAATGGGATCTTCCACTACCCCTGCAGATCCAATTCCGTTTTCCCAGGATCAGTTAACTTCCTGTACATCAAAACCATTGGCAACTGGGTGTGCACATGATCCTCCAAAGTCAAATAATCTATCCAACCAAAGTGAAGAAAAACTCCTTTCAGACCTTATTGTAAATTGTGTAGCAGCTTTTATGATGATTCAGGTAATTAAATATATGTTGCATTATTTTGCTGTGGTAAATCTCCTCCCATGGTTATTCCTCTTTGGCACAAAAGTATGCAAGTGTTTTCCACTTGTTTTATGACTTGTTTGTTGTTATCAAGTCATTACCTGTTTCAATGGTCATTTTGTCCCTCGCTGTTATGCTGATAGGAAGCTTATATCTGTTTACCACATGAATTGCAGACATGTACAGCACGACAGTTTCCGCCAGCTGATGTCGCCCAGGTATTAGATCATGCCGTTACTAGTTTGCAGCCATTTTGTCCCCAGAACCTTTCGGTTTACGGAGAAATACAGAAGTGCATGGGCATTATTAGGAATCAGATAATGGCGCTCGTTCCTACATAGTCACTCTGCCTAAATATGTAATGTTCAATGTTTGGTTTATCACTAGAATCAATACATGTATAGAGGTATCTTGAGCATTTTGTATGTATAAACATTATCAGCACATGAAGTTCATGCTGTTTTTTGTGACGAGGTGGTATATAGTATAAAATATAAATGTTGTGAAAGAGAGTTTCTGTTATTAAAAAAAAAACAATAATGGTAATTGCAATTTTATTTTTCGTATTTCCTTTCTGTCATCCAAAGGAATTGATGAGTGTAATCCTTATCATTTCACGTGATCTGTTTTACATTTAAAATCTTTAAAATAAAAGCATTTTGTACCAAATAATTTAACATTTGTCAATCTTATTCTTAACTACTGATGGAGTATGTTCATGCCTTTTTTTTTCTTCTATTTTCAGCTATAATGCTTTTTTTATTGGGAGTTTCACTAAAACACCCAAAATGGAGGTTGAAATTATAAAAAAACCCAACACCCAAAATACTTTATAAACACACTCAAAACCCATCATTACACACACTCAAAACTCATTTATAAACACACATAAAGTTGACTTTGGGGTTGATTTTGGGTGTGTTTCTATGTTTAAATAGTGCTTGGGTTTTTTTATAAATACATGTTTAGGATTGGGTTTATTTATAAATTTGTATTTTTTATTTTTGGTGGGGAAATTTTCCATTTGAAATTGTAGTCCAAATTACCAATTGAACGGCATAGTTTGCAACAAAATATTATCCTTCCTTTCCATTCTCTTCTCTTTCCAACTCCTAGACACGGTATTAAGATCAATGAAGCTAAACTGAAAGTGAGTAATTATCCGCTTCGGATGAGACAGAACAGATAGAAAATACAAAGACCAAAAATCCTTCTTGGTCTCTGTAGTCAAGCACTTCAATCATTTTTGACTTTGTAGGTTTAATTCCATCAATTTTGCCATTGTAGTTTCGTATTTGTAATAGTTCAAATAAAAGTTTGTATTCTTGTCAATTTCTTTGACGGTGCAAGTGCAATTTCATCAACCCAAAACCCTTGAGCAAAAATTCTTGTTTGAAACTCTCATCATTTCATATTAGGGCTCAAAATTGATGGAATTGAAACTACAAGGTCAAAAGTGGTTGAAGTGCCAAACTACAGGGACCAAAAGTGACTTTTAGCCAAAATACAAATGCTCAAAGATCAATTGATTTCATTGCTCAAAACAAGTATGAAGTTCTACAAGCACACACATCACAAGAACATTATCATTTAAAAGGAGAAGAAAAAAGAAAGGAAAATCCATGCATGAATCAGAAAAATGGATCCCCCTCATATTCCCGAATTCAAAGTGTACAAAGCTGAAATTGTTCAATCTGACAATAACAAACAATCAATGCAATGAAGAACAACAAATCCAAACGTTCTTTGTATGGCTTTGCACTGACCCTCAACATTTGGTACAAAATTGTACAACTCAAATCTTCCAACTAGCCTTGAATTTGAAGCCTGTGTCTAATTCCAGGAACCTAAATAAACCCATAATCTCATGTAATCACAATCCTAACTTCTTCTTCTTGGGCTTTTTTACCACAGCACAACCAGAGTCCTCCATTATCTGCAGCTCAACACAAGTTAGTAGCAAAAGAGGCAACAAAAGAACAAAACAAATCATGAAGAAAAAAAAAACATCAATGATAATGGCACATTTCCCTCTGATGAGTTACTAACCTTTCGTCTCTTTTTCTTCTTAATTTTTTTCTTCAGCTTCTTGGGCTTAGAATTTTCCACATTTTCTTCTTGTTGCAGAGAGTCCTGCATATTTTACACCAAATTTCATAAAAACAATCAAAGAGGTAAGACAATCTTGATATTCTTATCAAAATGGAAGCACAACTTGGGGAAGAAGAAAAAAAAATCACCTCAAAATCAGAATCACCAAAGGAGTCAACATGTCGTATGGTTATCCCAGAATTAGATACCCCACCTGATTAACCCCCAAAAAAAAAAAAACCAAGTTTAAATTAATCAAATGTGATTAAAGCAAATGTAGGTAGTTAATAAGATGATAAATTGAAGAGGAGAGTGGAGTTTACTGGCGAAAACGGTGCGTTTGGCGTTCTGGACAGCTCGTTCCACAAGATGCGGGTTGATGTTGTCCAATCCATTGGGATCCTGCAGTTTTCTTTCTAGAAATTTCGCCAAGGCCGCTGCTTTATTCGTCGTCAATGGACCACCAGGATGAGCCAACCTATAGATAAATATATAATTAAATAAATAAAAACCCTAGCACAAGAGATGAAGAAGATGAAAGAAACAAACCTGGGTTGGGGTTGGGAACGAGGAGGCAACGATGGGAGAGGTGCGAATTTGCTGCCTCTTAAAGCTCTCTTTTCTTCTTCGCTTAACTCTTCGCCTCTTTCTTTCACCATTTCTCTCTTCTCTCTCTCTCTCTCTCTCTCTCTCTCTCTCTCTGTGCCGGCCGGTGATTAATCACAACTCCGATTCAGATAAAAAAGAACACAAATCAAACCTTTAAATTTTGATTTTTTGGCCCCTTTTGGGTCACTCCTAATCAGAGCTTTCAAATTCCCATTTCTTAAATAATAAAGAAAAATAAAACTTTTTAAAAATGACTTTTGATATTCATATTCTAATTGTGCGCGGAAATAAGGCCCATTATTTTTCTGACCCAAAAAAAAACAGGAAAATATATATATATAAAACAAAAGGCAGATAATGATAAATTATTTAAAATATCAGAAAATGCTCTTAGTTGATGCAAATATTAAGAATTGAAATTATTAATTAAATAAGGATAATATGGTAAATTCACAATTTTCATTTTTAATTAAAAGAAAAATCAGATAATGAATTCTATTTTTATGGAACACAACTACCCATTATCATTTTTAATTCTAAAATAAATTTAAATTTTTTTGAAAAAAAGCCTCTTACGAGTGCAAAAGTGCGTGCAGAGACACTAGTTTTTATTAAGCATAGGATGTTGTTATTTGGACTATATTTTATCGACCACATTATTGATCACCTCTCTAATATAAATAAGTCTCACGTGTATGAGAAACCCACCTGCTCAGGTTCTTTTTCCAACGTTAAGAAATTCCAAATTTGAATCTTTTCTACTCAATCGATAAAAAAGAAAATTATTAATTGTATATAAGGACGTTCTGCAATTTTTTAAAAATTAGTTCTCAGAAAAAATAAAAATAAAGAGATACTCTCTCATACCTCATTGATTTTTTTAAAAGATTTTCTTTGTATCAATACACGAGTTCCAGCCAAAGAAAATATTACAATGAGTGGCAAAAATAACAATAACAATAACAAACTTCTTTTATAAGGTATCAAATCCCAGCTAGATTTGTGAGAATTTAGGGGGATCCAATTTTTATTTTTATTTTTATTTTACAAATAAATGATCAGATGCAATCCCAGATACCACAATCTCATCAACATTACACTTGCATATACACAGCATGATATGGTTCACTTTATTGAGTTCTCCATTTGCCTGCTACTTACAATACGTCTGAAGAAGATCAAACCACAAGAAGATATGGATGAACCTAAAAACCAATTACATGACAACAAGTAAGCATAGAACCCAATAACTTCAATTGTTCATTCCGTTCCTCCCCCACTGCATCATTTTCTGCATTTTTTCCCCTAATTTCAACAGAAAACTAATACAGGAACCTGCTATTCAGTAACATCGCATCTACATCAGCAGCACAATGTATAAATAATAAAGGGAGGGGGATGACCAACAAATTTCAGAGGAAACGAATTCCTCGCAATTTACAGGCCTCTTTTCAGCCTAAAATTCTAAAAAACTAGGCGAAGCAATGAGGCCAATCCAATTGTATGTTTGAATGAAACCAGACCAAGTCACCATGTAAGGTACTGGATCCTCTAATGAACAGTTGGGAAGACATGGGTGGCGTCGAGAACCACTGAACAAACCCCCTCTGCCTTTTTCAACTACAGCTTTGAGGAGCTAACCAAGCAAGAACTTGAAAATGTCACTTAGTGAAACAATGCCTTCAACCCGCTTACTGCCAGCTTCCACAATGACAAGCCGTCTGACACCTGAAATCCAAATTATGAGGGAAGTTCAGCGGGTGGAGATCTTTTAAGTTATCAAGGGAGCCACCCAAAGATTGAACAAGAGCACACAGCTACTGATTGGATTCAAAGAGTTCAAAAGAAAAATTCTGGAAAGATCAGCTGGCCAAATGGTGCTCTATATGATCAGGATACTACACCTTTACTCAACATCACAACACTACTGTCTTTACCTGAAAGAAAAGGAGATGATTCCAAATAAAAATGGAAGAAATAAGAATATACCTGGATTGGCCAATCGCTCCATCACTTTATGCAGCGAATCAGAGCGCAAACACATCTGACATCTTTGACTTCTTGGTTCAAAGGGAGAATAAGAGTCTTGTCCCAACTGCAATGCCTGAAAAGAAAAACATAGCAGAACTAAGATGACATCCCTTGAAGCTTCTCTGAAGCCAAAACACCTCAGACCAACTCTTCCACCAAAATATATAAACACGTAGAGAAAATGCCAAAGAGAAAAAAAAATCCTTCAAACTGAAAGAAGAGCCACCCCAAATATTAAAATCCCCCTTACTAAACCACAACTTATAATTCTCAAAATAATGATCTTAAGGCCCCGTTTGGGATTGCTTTTTTTCGCCAAAAACCTGCTTCACTTTAAAGTTAAGCAGTTTTAGGTGTTTGGTAAAAATAAAATATCTCGATTATTTTAAAAGCAGTGGCCTTTTGACAGCAACTTTTAAAAGCAGGCTATGGGTTGCTTTTCAAAGCTGCTTTCAAAAGAAGCAGAGATGAACCTTTAATGAATTTTTTTAATTCCCAAAATACCATCATTCATTTTAAAAAATAACACCACCTCTACTTCCACATCCAACTCCACCACTTACACCACCACATTCACTACCTCCACAACCACCGCCACCGCCACCACCTCCACAACCAACACCACCACCACCACCATGAACCACCACAACCAACTCCATCTCCATCTCCACCTCCACCACCACCATCACCACCACCACCACAACCACCACCTCCACAACCAACACCACCACCACCACCACCATGCTGCCACCTCCACCACCATGCTGTCACTACCACCACCTCCACAAGCGCCATCCCTACCACCACCACCTCCACTCCATCACTACCACTACTACCACATGATTAGTACATAACACTTTTAACATCATGTCTATTTTAGTCATTATTCACAGTTACAACAATTTTATATTAAAACTTACCAAACGGTTTTGACACTGCTTTTTGTACTAACAGCACTTTAAAAATATTGTTTACCAAACACAGAGCTGCTTTACTTTACAGCTAATTATTTTCAAAGCACAGCAGAAGCAACTTTTTTTAAAAATGACAGCAATCCCAAACTGGGCCTAAATCTCCCCATCCCCAAAATAAATAATTGATCAGAAATCTGGCGCATCTGAAGAACTCCCACTCCACAAGACATTCATGACGCACACAAGAATGTATGGACACTAGGAAATAAATATGTTCAGGGATGGGGGAAGAAAATTGCAGCAATTACCTGATGAATAGTCATTTCATTGAGATTAATATGTGCATATGCTCTATCTTTAGCCAAAGCCGTTATGTCACTGTAAAGAAGATGTGAATGGAGAAATATCACTAATGGTTCATTAAAAGCCTGCTAATTTTTAAATACAATGAATGAAGACAAAAATCAGTAATCAAATACAAATAGAGTACAACTAACCTCCGACAATATATATCCAGTAAAGAGTCATTGTCATCAACAATAGGTATTGAACTTACTTGAGCTGCAAGGCAAACCCAAAAAAGTATGAGTTAGCATGATGTGGGAATATAAGTCTAAATGACTCTCTCTCTCTCTCTCTCTCTCTCTCTCAAATTTGGATGCTACTTAAACTCACACCTCCACCCAAATCCAATTACATATAAAGTCATCCATCCTATGCATTTATGACCAAAAAATTGAACACAGAAAATCCTTAAATCCAAGACCTGTTAGGATAACTTGATTCCACTTTGACAAGAGCAAGCCGTGCATGACAATGCAATGCATGGATATTGTGCACTATCCATTGGACAAGGCAGCCTATGTATATGCGATTGCTGCATCATGACTTTAAAACATCCAAGCTATAGATCAAAACACAAAGCTTACCTTGCACTAACAAGTTTAATGCTGCACTAAGTGAAGCACTTGGTCTCAACATTGCTAATGGCCGACAATTTGACTCTCCAATTTCTGGAACCCAAGTACCCACATGAAGTTCACATATTGGTGCTTGAAGTATGGGCAATGAGCTAGAAGAATGCCTAAAGTACCTGCAAATACCTGAAAATTAAGATTCATCAGCACCAATTAAGAACCAAACATATGGTCTTACACAACAACATTCTGGAAAGCTTACATTTTAAAATACCAGACAGCGAAGCAAGATGTAATAGCTGTGGAAATGTGCCATCTTCTGAAGATGAATGAATAATTGGAACAGTAGCAACCTCATTTTGCAAAAGTTTCAAAACAACATCTTTCATATTATCATAAGGCCCAGCCTGCAAAATAAATAAATAGTGTGGCCAAGGAACAAAGAATGATCATTATTCCAATGAAAAAAAGAACTACATGAACAGTAAGAAAAACCTAGAGACAAATTCATAAATGAACCATCAAAGCAAATTTTATCAACACAAGTGGAACTAACTACCATATGGGCTCACAAGTCAGTATAGATTAAGAAGGTAAAATAGCACATTCATGTGTCTCTGGCACTACCATATCGTTTCAAATTTTAGCATTGACATTGGTTTTTCTCGTTATGGTCATACACAAGTTTCCATTGTGCAACTGATGAAGGTAGACTGCTTCTGTGCTCAAGAAGCGATACTGTAAGCCTTTCTTCATGTATGTTTTAAAGAAGATCTTGAACTAATAATTTCACATATGCACGGACACATATAGACATTATTAATGCATGAATGCCTAAGATAAAAGATTACAAATATTGTGTGCAATATGAAATGCATAAATTATATATAGGGTAATGTTCTCTTGCAAGATATCTGGTATGTTCTGTTGTCAAACTATGCATCACCACACATTAAAATAGCAAGTCAAACTCTCAAACGAGAGTATATATATGACTATGAGAATGTTTACATCAAAGCACAAATGCACACACTATAAAAGTATCCTTTAAGGTTACTGGTCCACATTGCATTTTTAAGCCAGAGATTCGAAACATGTCAAGTAAAACACTCACATGGATGAAACGCCTTGGCAATGCTCTCCCATGCCCATCAATTTGTCCGTTTAGATATGCTTTTCCTTCTTTCCATGCAGCTATAGTATGTGTTTCAAGCTCTTCCTCTGTCAAATTAGACCCATGGTTCCCAAGCTAAAAGATAAAAGGTAAGTTAGCCACTTTAAGTAGTATCATACATCACTCAAAATGTGCATATCTGCACATAATGTGTGAAAAATGAATTTTACATAAAACTATCAAATAGTAAAGTCCTACTTAACCAGTATTTAGCCAATAAAATAAAGATATCAATAGTTCGGCAAAGTTTAACAACAGTCTGATTCACAATTTTCTAAGAATATACATTACAAAAAATGAAAGTATAGGAGACTGGCAGGCTCATATATTAATACATCTGAATTGGATGAGAATTCAAAATAACAACAATGAGAAATTTGCATCTTGGAGAACTCGCCAGTAGGGGAAAAAAATCACCATTTCAGATGCAAACATACCTCCCTTAATATCAATATAAAATCCGATGCAGTTAGAACTCCAACAAACTGTCCCTTGCTGAAGTCCCAAAGAGGCGCCAAAGGGATTCCCTGGGAAAAAAAAAAAAAGCTTGGTTCAGAACTATGCATATGCAAGCTTTATACCAGCATCAAGGAAGCATGTCAAAAATAATAAGCAAGGTAGCATGCAACTTTGGCAGCAAACTAGGAGAGCTTGGGTGAATTTCCTAGTTGAAATTGTTTTACAAAAATGACATGAGAATATCAAATAAAAGATCAACACTAACAATTATATATAAAGGGTGGAATCATGTGAACAAAGGGCCTTAAAGAAAAAACACCAATTACTACATTTTGGAGCTTTTCCATTATTACGGCATCAATGCCCAAGGACCTATAAAGATACCTTGAGGGATCCTCCAGTTATAACTTATAACTTAATATAAGTTACTTTAAACTACCACAACGCCCATTATATAAAATGACAATCAACTACAATGCATCAATTTCCTCTTCAAAAAATAAAAAATACAGAGCATGGCTCAATAAAAAAATGAGAAAGTATTTTCCTTTGTATATACCTGCTCATGCAATATATGAAATGCTTGCTTTACAGGCAAATCAACATCCAAGGCGACAACCTGTGAAATTGATGTGATTAAAAAAGTGACAAGCGGAACTAATTCATAGTGAATCAAATTCATACAGACAACCAAATGCAGAATGCATAAAGGAGGGTCAATGAAAAGACATCCAAACCTTGCCTGACTCGGGGAGTAGTTCATAAGTGGTATGTGCAGACAAGAAAACAGAAATACGATGACGAGAGCCCTGCAGATCACCCTCTGTTATCCTCGGTACTACATCAGTTAAATTACCATCTGTAATCCGGACCTGCATTATAATTCAGAATCCCAGTCCACTATTGATAATAACTCACGGAAGAAGAAAGAACTGAAAATAAATAGATAAATAAACACAGCTTAAAGGAGCATAAATGAATGCTAAAATACAAGAACGACCAAAGAAACACCACACCCACGATTTTTCCTAGGTTAAAACATAATTTTCTTTATTGGGGAAAAAAAGGTGACTCAGACTATGCCCAAGTAGCCCCTAGGACTCTCTGCAAGGTTCAAAATGTGCAAAACTTAGCAATGCATAGATATTTGAGCATCCTAGTTTCTCAAATCACAATCAGCCATGGATGGAATAATGCTAAAGAACCTCTGAGTTCACCATATTCTTAAGGAAATACAGGATAACAGAAAGAGGTTAAACTTTTCCAGGTAACTGTAATCTTAAATGATAAGGAATGAATGAGTCTTACCAAACGCCGAAAGGCCTCAGTATCCTCTTCCATATTAGATCCAGAAGTTATCTCTGGGGTTACATTTGGATGAAAGAAATTAGGATCCGTAGCCAAGAGAACGGTGTTCACTAACCCATATTCACCACTCACATAAGGTTGGTGCTCATCATGTCGCCATTCTCCATCAACGAAAAACTTGTACTGTTGTAAAAGAAACATGTACAAGTTAGTAAGACTGATGAAAATAGTTTAAAAGTCTTATCAATGTGAATGTAGAACATCCTAGTATTAGCATTCTAAAATCAAATTACAGGCATCCGTTAGGCTTAGTAAAATTTCACGCATTCAATCACTACTCCAACCCGTAGAATCCCAAAATGGTGATCCACTTAACATAAGCATGCCTACAAAAGAATAAGAAATGCTCCATTCTAAATTGTGTCATATTGATATACAAATCCTATCTATTCATGTATACATCTGTGTGCCAATTGCCCAGAATTCATATCAACTACCACATCTCGTAGACTTAAAAATGTCAGTATTAACACTATTACTCATATTCGCCTCAAAGGTGAAAGCACATCATTTCATGCAACAATAAAAACTCAAATGCTTTAATTCAAATAGGAAAAACTTGCCTGGTGATATCCAGGCATTACGCTGTAAATAGCCTGAAACACAGTGGGGCAACCCTCAACCGGCGTCATAGGAATAAGTTCAGACCACCTGCTGAAGAACATCCCATTTAGAAACACTCAGAAACAAATGACTTAATTTAACTAAATAAAAGCAGCCAAGCAAATCATATGAAATCAAATTCCAAATAGTAATAATATTTGGGACCAAAAACTCCCGAGTCTCACCGTGCAAATGAACCACTGAGAAATACACTTCTGCCTCCATAAGGCCACACAAACCGCATTGGGATCAACACCGTGCTTGGAGCTCCACCTACATCCCGCGCCGAATCCATGTTGGTAGCAAACATTTGCCCCCAAATTTTATATAAATATTTCTCAAAAATAATTAACCCTCCAAGCAATCTAAACTCCCTACGACATGCTCGCTCATTTTATTTACTGTAAAAACAAATTCAACCAAATTACGCTAAAAATCATGCAAATGGTACCAAAGTCAGACCAAATGAAACAAAATTTCAGCTAATTTAACTCACTCTAATAAGAAACACAACAAAATGTTTCAAAATGTTTTAGCGATTTTACTTGCAGAAGCTAAAATTGTACAGGAAAAGCCCTACCGACGCTAAGATTGGGGGCAGAAACCTACCAATTAGAGCAGCGAAAGGCCTTCCATTTCAATAAATCGACGAAAATGGCAAGTGAAAACGAAACCCTAGCGGAAATAATTAGGATAAATTTAAAAATGGGTGAGAAAATCGAGAAGGCTTGCGACACGATCGAATCTAATTTCGAACCCTAAAAGACAGAAACTCCGATAGTGATGTTAAAAAATCATAAAACGATGTGTTTTTCTCTTTCTTTCTTTTTTCTTTTTTTTTTCTTTTTTCTTTTTTTGTTTTAAAAAATTACGACAGCAAAGAGCTCGGGAATTTACCGCGACTCTGTTGAGGTAACTGGTAAAAACTGTTGAAAGATTTCGGACGGCGTGAGATATCGTTGAAGTTTTTTTGTGCTACGAACACGTGGCACGGCTTTACGGTAATAGAAAAATATGTAGGCCAATTTTCTTTTCATTGTTCTTAAAATTTTACCAAAATGAAATTTTAGTTTAAACTGTAACATTTCATTTTTTTTTTATAAATAAAATTTGTGAAATTCCATCTTATCCAATCAATTATCATATACTAGCCTCTCCGCACGGAGAAATTATAGAGTGATACGGTATCACCACGTCAGCTGGTGATACTCCCACTCAAAATCTAACACGTATCAATTTTAAAAGTAAATTTTAAAAAAATTACACCTGGATTTTATCTTCCAAGTATACCCTTCAACAATAATTAGACCTAACCCCTCTCCCACCGTCTTCCCTGTGCTTCGCTTCTCCCTCACCACCAAGCTGTCTTCTCTTTTCCCTCGCCACCCACCCCAGCCTTCCTCTCCCTTCTCATCCAACATCTCCAACCCCTTTTTCCCTCCCTCTCAATCTCAGTAAAAAAGTTAAATGCATTAAGAAAAAGCCAAAAATCTTGAATGTATATAAGTGCAAATCAGAAATTTTCAAAAGCATCTCCTATGATGATAAGTTGACAACCCACTGCTGAAAGAAAGGTAATAATGGATGTTATGGGCGACCAAGTAAATCAGTTATTTTTTTCTTTTTTTTGTTAATTTTATCAACCACTTTTTGGGTGGTGTTGTTTGATGTTGGTATTCATGGAGGGGAATTGCAGCGAAGGGGTGGCAGTGCGTGGGAGGCAGATTGCCAATGGGATCTGGGTGGGACACTGCTACAATCTTGTTTTCTTTTTCATGTTTTTTATAAAAAAGTTAAATAAAATTTATTCAGGGTAAAGTTGGAAGACAAAGTACAACTATGAAAAAAATATAATTATTTTTTAAAATTTGACACGTGTTAGATTTTGAGTGGGAGTATCACCCGCTTACGTGGTGATACCGTATCACTCTATAATTTCTCCTCCGCACGCACTTTTACGTCTATGAGAGGATTTTTTTTATAAAAAAAATTTATTTTAAAATTAAAAAAGATAATGGGTAGTTGTGTTCCATAAAAATAGGATCAATTATATGATTTTTCTTTTAATTTTAATTTTTTAAATATAAAAAGTGTGAATTTACCATATTATCCTCATTTAATTAATAATTTCAATTCTTAATGTTTGCATTAACTAAGGGCATTTTTTGGTATTTTGAATGTTTCATCATTCTCTGCCTTTTGCTTTATATATATCAGCCCCTTAGCACATGCTCACGCATGTGTCAATTGATTTTCTTTTTTCTTTTTTTATTTTATTTTTGGAATTAAGAAAAGATAACGTAGGTAGTTATGTTCCATAAAAGTAGGACATATTATCTGATTTTGTTTTTAATTTTAATTTTTTTTAATATGAAAAAATGTGAATTTATCATATTATCCTCATTTAATTAATAATTTCAATTCTTAATGTTTGAATTAACCAAGGGTATTTTCTGGTATTTTGAATGTTTCACCATTCTCTGCATTTTGCTTTATATATATAGATTATATATATAAATAGATATATATATGTATGTATTTTTTTGGTGCAAACAATGTAGTCATTTCTTACAATTAATAATGTGGGATGAATCCAACCGAACAAGAAATGTCACATTTTATTAGGCTACAAAAATATGTGATAATATTGGAAACTTCATGTTTTGCTTTTCTTTTTCTTTTTTTAAATAACTCTATTTTTAGATTTTAGTGAGAAAAAGTATAGTAACTCTATGAAGTGGAGGTTTGGTGCAAAATGCATATGGTTTGTGCTTCTTGTAAATTACATAAAATAGTAATGATAAGCCAACGTGGTCTACCCTAGCAAAAAGATGCATTGACTTGCAGACTAGTGGTCTTAAGTTCAAATCCGATAGTATCTTGACAATGTGTGTGAGAAAATCCCCTTTCTCAATATCGATTGTATAAAAATAAAATAAAAAGGAAGCTGATTTTTCCACTTTTCTTTTGTTCACTTACACTCCCTTGTATGTGTTTGCCTGTTTTGCGTTTACTCCTGTGATGGAATGGCAAAGTTCCCCACTGCCTTGAGAACCATAAACTGGTCGACAAGTCAGCTTTCTTTGGTGTGCGAGCGTGCCACTGCTAGCAATAAAAATTCTAGCAGACTTAGTTTGGAATAGATAACTTGCGCCCCAAGTTACTGATTTCTGCAAACAAACGATTGTGAATTTGGGTGAGGAATATCTCCCAAGTAAGTTCTTTTCCTGCCTCAGACTGGTGAGGACTTTAACAATTTATCTCAGTATAAACAGG